AACTGCTCTTTGCTTGTAATCTATGAAGCTTGAGACGATCTATCTTGTAATGTGGAACTCAATCACGTGTTCGGATGTGCAACAAAAAAATCTTCCTTGTTGTCATCAGGACACACAGGAAAGAAGTGACAAGATTCCCGCCTTGTGCATGCGCAGTGGCGCCTCTGGCAAGGGATAGGGTTTCCCTCACAACTATGGATACGTTGGCAGTGTGATGGACGTCTGTTGAAAATTTATAAAAAATTATAGTGTGGTTCTCAGCATAAACAGGAATTTATGGCACTGATGTGATAGAGGTGAGGTATTCACAAGAATTATACATGTGAGGTGCTCCTTGTAAACAGTCACACATGTGAGGTGCTCCTTGTAAACAGTCATATATGTGAGGTTCTCCTTGTAAACAGTCACACAGGTGAGGTGCACCTTGTAAACAGACACACAGGAGAGGTGCTCATTGTAAACAGTCACACATGTGAGGTGCTCCTTGTAAACAGTCATATATGTGAGGTGCTCCTTGTAAATAGTCACACAGGTGAGGTGCACCTTGTAAACAGACACACAGGAGAGGTGCTCATTGTAAACAGTTACACATGTGAGGTTCACCTTGTAAACAGCCATACATGTGAGGTGCTCCTTATAAACAGTCATACATGTCAGGTGCACCTTGTAAACAGTCATACATGTGAGGTGCACCTTGTAAACAGTCACACATGTGAGGTGCACCTTGTAAACAGTCACACATGTGAGGTGCTTCTTGTAAACAGTCATACATGTGAGGTGCTCCTTAGATCTGTGTTTACTCTCATAATCAATCCCTGATTGGCCAAGCCGGGTTTGATTAACTGATTCTTTTAGATCTGAGATTTCTCGAGACATAGATTACATGCGTGTGTCAATCATAACAGACATAGAATTTGTTATTCTTTCCGTGAACTCATTTACGTTAAAGGGGGAATGTGGCAGAGGGTGAAAATCATTTGTTTCTGTCCAAACTCGATGATTGACCGTACCAGACGTTGCCGGATGCAAGTTAGAGGCACTTTCTGTTTGACCGGTAAAATGCATCTGCTCCTCAACATTATTGGGAGAGTGGGATGAGCGACGGGGTCTCTTCTCCTCATAAGGTGAGACGGCACCCTCGCGCGACACTCGCTTGTCACCCACGTGATTAATTTTGGCTGCCACGGGCTTAATCACTTGTTTTCTTGATGTAGATGCTCTAGTGACCTTTTTATAATCAGGATTTTTGATCCATGCCTTGGAGAGCTTGTCAAATTTTTCTTTTGACAGATGCTCGCAATAACTGCACCTTGACTTCTGTGTACAGCTGCTTTTCTTGCATGCAAGACATCTAGGGTGAGGATCACCAGGAGCTTGGTGTTGTCCACAGCCCAAACAGACAGGTGTCTCATCCCACAACACTTTTCTTAACTAATTACTTACTAGAGACTCCGATCTTCTATACCCCCGTTCTCCTTGTAGAACTGCTCTTTGCTTGTAATCTATGAAGCTTGAGACGATCTATCTTGTAATGTGGAACTCAATCACGTGTTCGGATGTGCAACAAAAAAATCTTCCTTGTTGTCATCAGGACACACAGGAAAGAAGTGACAAGATTCCCGCCTTGTGCATGCGCAGTGGCGCCTCTGGCAAGGGATAGGGTTTCCCTCACAACTATGGATACGTTGGCAGTGTGATGGACGTCTGTTGAAAATTTATAAAATTATAGTGTGGTTCTCAGCATAAACAGGAATTTATGGCACTGATGTGATAGAGGTGAGGTATTCACAAGAATTATACATGTGAGGTGCTCCTTGTAAACAGTCACACATGTGAGGTGCTCCTTGTAAACAGTCATACATGTGAGGTGCTCCTTGTAAACAGTCATACATGTGAGGTTCTCCTTGTAAACAGTCACACAGGTGAGGTGCACCTTGTAAACAGACACACAGGAGAGGTGCTCATTGTAAACAGTCACTAATATGAGGTGCTCCTTGTAAATAGTCATACATGAGAGGTTCACCTTGTAAACAGCCATACATGTGAGGTGCTCCTTATAAACAGTCATACATGTGAGGTTCACCTTGTAAACAGTCATACATGTGAGGTGCACCTTGTAAACAGTCACACATGTGAGGTGCACCTTGTAAACAGTCACACATGTGAGGTGCTTCTTGTAAACAGTCATACATGTGAAGTGCTCCTTAGATCTGTGTTTACTCTCATAATCAATCCCTGATTGGCCAAGCCGGGTTTGATTAACTGATTCTTTTAGATCTGAGATTTCTCGAGACATAGATTGCATGCGTGTGTCAATCATAACAGACATAGAATTTGTTATTCTTTCCGTGAACTCATTTACGTTAAAGGGGGAATGTTGCAGAGGGTGAAAATCATTTGTTTCTGTCCAAACTCGATGATCGACCGTACCAGACGTTGCCGGATGCAAGTTAGAGGCACTTTCTGTTTGACCGGTAAAATGCATCTGCTCCTCAACATTATTGGGAGAGTGGGATGAGCGACGGGGTCTCTTCTCCTCATAAGGTAGGACGGCACCCTCGCGCGACACTCGCTTGTCACCAACGTGATTAATTTTGGCCGCCACAGGCTTAATCACTTGTTTTCTTGATGTAGATGCTCTAGTGACCTTTTTATAATCAGGATTTTTGATCCATGCCTTGGAGAGCTTGTCAAATTTTTCTTTTGACAGATGCTCGCAATAACTGCACCTTGACTTCTGTGTACAGCTGCTTTTCTTGCATGCAAGACATCTAGGGTGAGGATCACCAGGAGCTTGGTGTTGTCCACAGCCCAAACAGACAGGTGTCTCATCCCACAACACTTTTCTTAACTAATTACTTACTAGAGACTCCGATCTTCTATACCCCCGTTCTGCTTGTAGAACTGCTCTTTGCTTGTAATCTATGAAGCTTGAGACAATCTATCTTGTAATGTGGAACTCAATCATGTGTTCGGATGTGCAACAAAAAAATCTTCCTTGTTGTCATCAGGACACACAGGAAAGAAGTGACAAGATTCCCGCCTTGTGCATGCGCAGTGGCGCCTCTGGCAAGGGATAGGGTTTCCCTCACAACTATGGATATGTTGGCAGTGTGATGGACGTCTGTTGAAAATTTATAAAAAATTATAGTGTGGTTCTCAGCATAAACAGGAATTTATGGCACTGATGTGATAGAGGTGAGGTATTCACAAGAATTATACATGTGAGGCGCTCCTTGTAAACAGTCACACATGTGAGGTGCTCCTTGTAAACAGTCATACATGTGAGGTGCTTCTTGTAAACAGTCACACATGTGAGGTGCTCCTTGTAAACAGTCATACATGTGAGGTGCTTCTTGTAAACAGTCACACATGTGAGGTGGTCCTTGTAAACCGTCATACATGTGAGGTGCTCCTTGTAAACAGTCACACATGTGAGGTGCACCTTGTAAACAGTCATACATGTGAGGTACACCTTGTAAACAGTCACACATGTGATGTGCTCCTTGTAAACAGTCCAGATGTGAGGTGCTCCTTGTAAACAGTCATACATGTGAGGTGCTTCTTGTAAACAGTCACACATGTGAGGTGCTCCTTGTAAACAGTCATACATGTGAGGTGCTCCTTGTAAACAGTCACACATGTGAGGTGCACCTTGTAAACAGTCATACATGTGAGGTACACCTTGTAAACAGTCACACATGTGAGGTGCACATTGTAAACAGTCCAGATGTGAGGTGCTCCTTGTAAACAGTCATACCTGTGAGGTGCACCTTGTAAACAGTCACTCATGTGAGGTGCTCCTTGTAAACAGTCATTCATGTGAGGTGCTCCTTGTAAACAGTCACACATGTGAGGTGCACCTTGTAAACAGTCACACATGTGAGGTGCTCCTCGTAAACAGTCATAAGTGTGAGGTGCACCTTGTAAACAGTCATACATGTGATGTGCTTCTTGTAAACAGTCTCACATGTGAGGTGCTCCTTGTAAACAGTCACACATGTGAGGTGCTTCTTGTAAACAGTCATACATGTGAAGTGCTTCTTGTAAACAGTCATACATGTGAAGTGCTCCTCGTAAACAGTCATAAGTGTGAGGTGCACCTTGTAAACAGTCATACATGTGATGTGCTTCTTGTAAACAGTCACACATGTGAGGTGCACCTTCTAAACAGTCACACATGTGAGGTGCTCCTCGTAAACAACCACTCATGTGAGGTGCACCCTGTCAACATTCATACATGTGAGGTGCTCCTTGTAAACAGTCGTACATGTGAGGTGCTTCTTGTTAACAGTCACACATGTGAGGTGCACCTTGTAAACAGTCACACATGTGAGGTGCACCTTGTAAACAGTCACACATGTGAGGTGCTCCTCGTAAACAGTCCTAAGTGTGAGGTGCTCCTTGTAAACAGTCATACATGTGAGGTGCTCCTTGTAAACAGTCACACGTGTGGTCTGCACCTTGTAAACAATATGTATAATAACGGGATCGGGTGGTCAGGCTCGCTGACTTTGTTGAGGCATCTCAAAGATCCCAATAGCGTGGATCAATGCTCATGATATGAATCACTGGATTGTCTGGTCCAGACTCAATTATTTACAGACCCCCGCTGGAATATTGCTGAATGAGGCATTACACAAACAAACTAACAGACAAACATAAACAGTCACACATGTGAGGTGCTTCTTGTAAACAGTCATAGATGTGAGCCTCTCCTCATAATCAGTTACTCATGTGAGGTTCTCCTCGTAAACAGCCATACATGCGGTGCTCCTCATAAACAGTCACACATGAGGTGCTCCTCGTGAACAGTCACACATGAGGTGCTCATCGGAAACAGTCACACATGAGATTCTCCTCAGAAACAGTCACAAATCTGGGTGTCATTGCAGACTGATATTCAAAATGCAATGGAGATATTATTTCATTACTCATAACTCATTACTTGCCATGATATGTTTTCATTACAGATAATGTTGCTCATTTTGTTTTATCAGATTGATACGCCAACAGAGGAACCACACAGTTTCATCTTCATCAGCAAGGGTGCATTAACCCAATCGAAACTGCTTGTTCTGATTCATGGATCTGGGGCTGTACGGGCTGGACAATGGACGCGCAAGTAAGAGTTCTGTTAGGCCTGTAAGCCTGTATATAACTTAACCATACAATCACAAACAATCTATATTATTCTTACGAATCCTTTACCTCTATTAAATCATTGCCAAATTCCTGTATTGTGGCTGCTATCACACTAAACTAGACTTTAAGATTTTCAACACAAGTCCTCTTCACTGTCAAATATACAACAATCAATTTTCCTGCAATAGCACTCAAGTAAAGGCGCTCACTTCTTTCCTCTGTATGCTTGACATGCTATGTACTGCTCCTCCAGCACTTAGTTGTAGTTACAGTATTCTACCCCATTTCAGTAAACAAACTCATTACTTTACTTACACATAGTAGTCTTTTTAGATGTTAATAATACATGAGTATTAAATAAGTATTGATGTTTTTTGCAACTTTTTAAGATGGTATCATCTCCCTCTCCTTCAACTTGTCATAAGTATGGCTGATTTATGATCTCGAAGAACTCTCATATAGCCTGCTGGAAATGCAGGGAAGTCATCTGCACAGAAGATAAGCGTTGGGCGCTCTGTACTCCCCTCTCAAAGAAAGCTTCTACTAAACCCACAGAGTCTCTCAAAAGGCCAAGAGGAAAGATACGGCCAAGACAAAAATTGATGTCTCAACCTGACACGCTGTCTACACAACCTTCTAATCAACCGACCGCTCCTCTGACGACGACTCCTTCTTCCAACATTCCAGTTTCTCTGTTGGAGCAATGGAGCACCTTTAGAATACAGTACCACAACTTCTCATGAGGACGATCTCTGCCGTAGGTGACATGTCTGAAAGACAAGCAACCAGTTTTTGTGAGAATCCGTCGGACGCGAACTCGCGACCTTCGGATTGTTAGCCCGACAGCTAACTGACTGAGCTACGTCCACACTGTGAAACTAAGTGCAAATTTACCTAGTCATGCCTACGACGTTATGGAACTGAGCGAAAGGGGTCGAATAGGTGACGGACACTTAAGAAGGTTACGGGTAGGCATGGTGTCTCGTGACTTTAGTCTACGGACACTTACGAATGATCCCGATGCCATTTGGCACACTCGTCATATTCCGTAATCTACAAGATACCGAATGGAGAGGAATGAGCCGATATGGCGCGAACTGAAAACGGCTCCAGGCGTCAGACGTCAGACGTTGAACTCGCGAGTATGCATGAATGACATGGCATTTAATAATTCGTCAGGTGGATTTTGTGACAGAAAAATGTGATAGGGAACGCTGTAACGATGATGTGGATAATAGTAAGGAACAAGGGAGGCATGAGCATGGCTAGTGACGACACAACGGTGAGTTTGCTTCTGAATCAGTACTGAAAAAATGTAGCCGGTGAAAGTGGCTTGTGTGAATGTCCCAGGACAGTTTCCAGTAGCCAAAATATTTGACACAAAACCATTTCATTCTTTTTGCTCAACGTTTTTGTGTGAAGAATATTAGGAGTCGCTATAGAATCTATAATAGCCACGAAACGGGTACCTAACCCTAATGATCGTAAAGGGATGAATGATCGTAAAGGGGATCTTAGGGCTAAGGATAGAGTTTGGGTAATCCAATAGCCAGGAAACGGGTACCTCACCCTAATGATCGTAAAGGGGTGATTGATCGTAAAGGGGATCCAAGGGTTTTGGGGTAGCCTACCCGAACACTGGCGACATTTCGATGTGTTCAGCGCCAATAGAATATCCCCAATAAACTGCATTCTTGTGCATAATAATAAAAATTAATGAACCGAAAAAATAATATATGTATATTAGTTCCCATTTATAACCATTTTAGCCACTTGGAATTACAAGAAAAAGGAAATAAAAAATAAAAGTGCTTTCGTAAACTAGCGCTTGCTATAAAATGCGCCGCTGCAGGCTATATTTAGTTAACAAATATTCAAAACTCGCAACACCGGTGCGTGTAGAGATGATAGATCACTGGGAGGAGCTTATGCACACTCGATGACCCTTGACGTCACAGGGCATTGTTTCGCCAGTGTTACTGGCAACAAAATACCACAAATTACGTCATAGGGTATTGTCAAGTGTTTGAAAAGTTTGAGGTACTGTATTCTAACGGTAGGCCGGAGCAATTATTTGCTCAACAGAAGGCCGAGATGACCTCCTTATTTGAATCTCGTCTGTCGGCTCTATGTGGTTTACCGTTACTGATCAGCTCGACCACCATACAGTTCCCACATGGGTTCCCACAGATTATAAGCCAACTGCATGACTCCCATGTGGGAGCTTCAGTTAAACAACAGTCTACCGATTCACAGATCTTACCAGAATCCTAGACACGTTGGGAGGATGACCCACACAGGGATTAGGTGGATCTGCTAGACTACTTTGCTACTCACCAGCTGGAGGACTGCCGGTCAGGCCTCTCATACATCCCTTATGAGGATGAGTATTACCTCCACTCCTTTTTTCTTTGTGGAATTAATGGACTCCCTATACCATTTCATGCCAGACCTCCCTCCCTGTACAGCCCAAGCTTTTCCCTCTCAAATGCCAGAATACACCAGTTGCCACATCCCCGTTACATCTCATGTTCACCAAACTTTGCCATGGCCAAGCTTTTTAAGAGGGATTATGGATCAAGCCTTAGATGATCTACAAAAACTGTGGCATGATGATTGACTTCCACTCCCTAATTTGAAGAGAAATTTATACTGCACACATGACTCACCGTTCCCAGAGTAAACAACTTTGGATGACAACTTTCTTAAGTTGGTCAAAAATCCAAACATGAAATTATCCCTACCTGCTAGTTCAGTTAATGATCTGTCAACAGTCAACGGGTATTCCATGGATATTTGGGCCTACATAAATTGGTTTGTAGCCGGAGTCCATCTCATCATACCTCCTTTACAACCATCTTAAGACAATATGCCGGCAGACCCCTTGCCTATTTGGGTAAATCAAGTTGGTCTTCTTCACAGTCTCAATGTCAAGATGCAACAGGAACTTCTTACCATGCAGGTTTGGATGTCTTTCCAATTGCAACGTCAGCAGCTCCCATCACAATTGAGGACAGTATCGAATCAAGTCAAGAAGATGATAATGATCCCAGCCCACAAGATATTTAAGAATCAACTTGGGAAGATTGTGATGAGGTCAGACAAGACACGGTTGAGAGATTTCAAATGTCTTCAGTCAGCCTAGTGGCCAAAGCTCATGAATCATCAAAACAACCAAGAGACCAATCCAGAGACACTCCCTTCTGTGAAGCAGCTTGGAAGAAGTTTATTTCTTCTGGCAAGGAATCCTTTCAAACCTTCTTATGAACAGATCTTTACCAACACCAATCGGATTCCTTTCGTTAATCTGACTACAAACGTCAGTGTTCTCATAAAAAAAGGCTTCAAGTCGGGAGGTCGTGGGGACCATGGATGACTCTTCCCCACTCCCATTTTAGTCACCAACTCTATCGTTTTGGCTATGTCTATGGATTCCGATCTATGACTCTGATCAATCTCAAAGGAACAAAACTAAAGGCAGCTGTTCTTGCCATCAACGCATCAGATACTCCAAGACACAGACACCAGCAAGGGCTTTCATTCTCCAGTATTCTTGGTACCAAAGAAACATACCATTGAAATGAGGATGATTATTGATCTCAAGAACAAATTCTTCCTGATCCCTAACACATCTCTATCTGGTTTGTCTACACGGGTACTTAGATGATCTTTTTGCAGCAGACAAGTGTTTGGTGAACATGATGGGCAGTTCTCTCACTTATTTACCTCCAGTACATCATCTGTTCACAGATGCCTCGTATTTGGGCTGGGGAGCCCACATGGAGGATCTCTAGATACAGGGCTCATGGAAGAAGCGGAGAAGGATCTTCAGGGAGCTGCAGGGAGATGAAGGCGATATTTTATGCAATCCAGATTTTATGAAATATCTCCTTGTCTGTTCCTCAGTCCTGATCGCCACACTATTGGCTTATATACAGAAACAGGGAGTAATCACCCTGTTCTCTGATGATAGAGACTTCTCATTTATTCAACTTAGACATCTCATACAATTGCTGGATGGAAGCGAGACATATTCCAGGGAAAATGAACACCCTAACTAACAGTCTGTCAAGATGTGGAAGGATTGAAGCTATGGAATGGACTCTCCACCCAGACACCTTCACCTGGATCACTTCAATATGGGAAATTCCACATCTGGATTTGTTTGCGATTTGCCTGAATCATTGGCTCCCAATTTACAAAGTTCCAATACCAGGCCTGAGGGCATTACAGAAAGGTGCCTTGTTGATGGATTTGACAGATCTCTTCGCTTACACATTATCCTCCATGGCCTCTCCAACTACCTCCACGTCAAGATCTTCTGCGTCAACCCAGATCGACATCTTTTACGAAAGTCTTCTCAGCCCAAATCACACTGACTGGAAGTTATCTTGCAGAAGATGCAAGCCTCCGGATTCTTTCAATCTGCCACTGAAGCTGTGGCTACATGATGGATAACGTCTTCCTCTCTTTTATATAGATGGGATAAGTTTATATAGTGGCGACGATGATGTATCCTAAGTGATGTTGCCTTTTCTATCCAAGTGGATGCTGGTTTTCTCTTACACCTTTGAAAGGGTAAAAATTTTGGCATGTAACTATTGAAGGATATCGATCGACTCAACATTCAGTTTTACAACATTACAGTTTAATGATCGGCATTCATCCAATCTTAAACAGATTCTAGCACTCATTCCACATATATTTCTGAAATGAAGCTTATTGGTGGGCCTATCAGCACTAATAGCAGAACCCTTTGAACCTCTCGTTTCCACTGATTTGCTTAAAAAATCAAAGAAAGCAACTTTTCTACTTGCCATGGCTACAGCAGCTAGAGTCTCTGAGCTCCATGTCCTGGACTATTCTTGTGCCATTATAAGTAACAGTGATTTTTTATTTTATTGTTCTCAATCATGTGCTTGGCTTAGGACCGGAAGTGCTAGTTTTAAAACGTTCATCAGTCGCAACAGCGACATTGGG